ATTCATTGGTTTAGAATCTACCATTTTAAATTTGTTAAAATCAGAAGCTTTAAATCTTTTAATTCCCATATCATCTAAACCATACTTTTTCTCTAGGGTTTCCCACAGAACTTTAGCATTAGTTATAGTATAATATATATCATATAACCTATCAGATAAAGCTCCTAAGATTCTGTGTAGACAATGATACTCTATTTCTTGAGGTGTTCTTGGGATAGGAATGGAATCTGTGGAGGAAGATGAGGAAGATTGCCTAGTAACTGGTCTAGATGAAGATGGGTTATCTGGTTCTATGGCTGTTATTAGATGTAGGGTTGTTAACCAAAATCTCATTTGGTTTTGCCAACGCTGTTATTAGATGTAGAGTTGTTAACCAAAATCTCATTTGGTTTTGCCAACGACGGAAATTGTTCCCATCAAACTTCTCTGGTTTAGCAGACATAATTTCACTTGTAGCCATAATCTGATGATGAATGAATAGTTTTGTTATTATAATGTTGTAAATATTAGCTGTTTAGACAATAACGAAAATCAGTTTAAGCAATTTAATAATTAACAGATAATCACAATAGATATAAAATTAAACTGAGTTTAGAATATAGCCTGATGGTCGAGGCGTGCAAGCACTGTCCCAAGAAACTAATTGCCCCCTCTCGTACAGGGCTACGCGGCAAAAGTCCCCCGAGATACAACAGATATAAGAAATATATCAAATGAAAAGTAAATAGAGGTTAGAAATACGGCCTGATGGTCGAGGCGTGCAAGCACTGTCCCAAGAAACTAATTGCCCCCTCTCGTACAGGGCTACGCGGCAAAAGTCCCCCGAGATACAACGACCCTCGGTGAGGCGACCTCCTTCTCGTCGGCACGAGCTTCAAGAAGGTTTTGCGAATTCTTCTAGACTTTCAGGGAACCAGCGTAAACAGAAAACTATTTTGAAAAGAGAAGGAGAGAAGAGATCTGTTGATTTTTCACTGTATGAAACTATTCGGGTTTTGGTCCTTTTATAGGGTTAAACAGCCGTTACATAAACTCGTAGTTAATACGTTTTAATCACGTTAATAAAGCTTAGCCGTTATAAAATTAAAAAACGCTTCCGTTACATAATAAATTCACAAAATATTTATCACGTTTTTAATCACACTAATAAATTTTTACCGTTACAAAATATTTCTGTTACAAAATATTTATCACATGTTAATTGTTCAAAAATAAAAATTATATTTTAATTATTTAAAAATAAAAATGTAGCAGATTAAGGGCCCATTAATCCGGAGCTGCATTCGTGTCCGCAGGTCGTGTGCGCGCGCCACCCGACCCGACCCCGACCCGACCCCGAGCCCGGCCCGGCCGGCGCGCGCGTGTGTGGTGTGGAGCATAACCTTTGTTTTCTTCTAGGCATAGGAGAGAAAGGGAAGGCTTATAAGGACCCCTTTTTTCTATCCCATTTCCTATGTGGGACTAAACTTTCTCTCTTTTCCTCTACAAAGTCAAGTTTTAAGTTATCTTTTATTATATAATTCCAACAGTCCCGACTCGGACTCTCTTGGAGCATTGAGACGAAAGGCGTCATCACCCGGGGTTTCCCTCTAAAGCCAAAGACGTACGTCCTCCCTCGGGCTCTCTCGAAGGACCGAGACGAAAGGCGTATCGACTTGGACTCGCCAATGCATCTCGAACTAGGGGGAGAACCTATGTGCTTCGTCTTCTCGAGCAAAGTCACCTAGTCACTATCACATTAAATGCATGATCAGAGTCATCATTACATCCCCGCTAAAGTCATAATGACTCCTCGGATCATGCGAGTAATTTTAGTCATTCTGTCACTGCCGCATTAAATGTGAGGATGACTCGGACCACTGACTGCCGACATGTGTAAAGTGTCAGTTGACTAAACCGACTGTATGGACCCAGTCGAAATTACTCAAATACCCTTCACAGCTTACTATAAATACACAAATTGTCTTCTGCATAGAGGTGCGATATCCTCTACAACTAAAAATCCTAAAAACTATTTCTTTCTTACATTCCTATTCCTTAAGATCATCACTAACTTGATCGTTGTTATCAAAGAAACCACTGGAGAACCCTACTCTAATCCTTTAAAGTTTCGTATTGCATAAATTTGTCTTCAGCACAAAGCAATCAGCCATCAAAGAGGACCCTAAGTTCTCCTAAATCAACTCTAATCCCTACATTTAAGATTCTGACGTAAACAACTCTAGAAATATATTCACGTATATTTCTAGAGTTGAAATTATGAAAGACACTAAATATTTAATATTTGTTTTACCGAAAAATGAAGATGATACAAAATTACCTCTTATATGTGTGAATGAATCATTAACTAACTAGTAGTTACTTACACGCAAAGCTTCACGGATCTTTAATACATTGGTCAAATATCATTTGAATTTTTAATATTTAGAAGTCATCTGTGGTAAGTGTGAAAATAAACCAGATACCTAACAAATACTTAAGTGAATCAAATACTTCAGTGTTTATTCACTTAAGTATTCGGTCATATTCGATTCGATAATTCATTTAACAATCAAGGAATATATTTTTAGTATTCAGTTCATAAAACGAATAGAATTTAACCACATTTATATTCGTTTGATTAATTAACTATTTAGTTATACATTACACTTTAGATCTACAAATTTTAGTTATTATATTTTTTTATGCATCCCAAAAAGTTTTTTTAGACATATAGCCTCATATAATTATTTTGTGAATATTATTTTTATCACTAAGTTGCATATTTATTGGTCATATCATGTTTGGTGCGTTATAAGTCTAGGATAGGATAACGAATATTTATTGAATATTTACCAAATATCTACAGAATATGAACCAAATAATTCACAAAAGACTACATAAAAATTAACGAATATTCACAAATAGTTGTCCAATATTTGAATACTAATCGAATTGAATTCGGATACACATTTACTATTTGTTTGAATACGAATTCAAATAGTCGAATATGAACTGATTACGGATACGAATATTGTGGTATTCAATTCAAATTCGGTTCGTTTCCACCTGTATTAGTAGAGGTCCTTGACATTACCTTTATCAATAACCTAAGTCATTTTCACAAACTTATATTAAATATTGCTGACATGTTCATGAAGTGGCATTGTCATATCATTGACACACCAGTAAAAAATAGTAAACTTACAAGTTCTATACAACAAAAATTTGGTGAATTCTAATGTTTATATTTAACTTGGACTTTCACCCCTTTTTTTGACATGGAAGGCCATCATCATCACGTCAACAAAATTTTAACAGAATTTTATAAAAAGGATATTGGCTGATAATGGAAGTAACGTTAGGGACCCTTGCTAATGACTTGAACTCAAATGATATTTTGATAATACATTGGAAACCTTCACTTCATTGTACTTTTGTCTGAAATGAATTATTAACCAACTATTAGTAGCTTTGTCTAAAATTTTATTTATTTTAAATTTGAAAACAAACAGCCAAAAATAGTTTTTCCTAAAATGTAATACTAATAAATGAAATAGAATAGGAAATAGAATAGGAAAACGATTGTTAAACAAAATTAGGAATAATTCTTTGATTTGATTAAAAAGGGGTTTTTACATGTACACGGCTTAATTTTCATATTTCCAAATTTAATTTTGATATAGGCAAAATTATCTCCCAATTCTCTCATTGGGTTTGCAACATTTTTTCCCGTTTGTGAAATTAAAAATGCTTCACGGGAAGAGTATAGAAAGTCAATGTGAGAAATATGGGATAGTTTTGCAAATATCATCAAGATTTAAGAGTCATTTTACACATATGAAAGATTTGGGGGGTACATATGCAAAAATCTTAAATAAGAATATAAATTTGGCTTCGCCCGGACTTGAACCGGAGACCTTCAGTGTGTTAGACTGACGTGATAACCAACTACACCACGAAACCTTATTTGTTGTCAGCAAAAACATCCTTTCATATTTATAAAGTAACTTTCAATTACCATGCCACCGTTCAGGTATAAATTCTAACCCACAATCAAACATTTAACAAATATATTAGGTGACGGTGTTTCTTTGCAATATTTGCTAGATTTCATGGACAAAGTAGAGCATACATCAAAAGGGAAAAGAAAAAACGGGGTTCGCATTCTAATGTTTTTATCCCCATAACACTGTTTATGTACAATATAATTTTGAATCTTAAACGTGCTTTATATGTTATAGTGAATTTTTTGGCCCCTTATCCACTATTCAAGTTGAAGTAACATTATTTTAACATTGAAAACAATGTTCGTATCTTTTTTTTCCCTTCCTGCAAATGATGAATCTGACATTTACTAGACATTTCACAAATATAATTTTTTCCTGGCTCTATTATAGAAAATTGATAAAACGTGCTTATTTGTGTATTATTTCCCTCACTTGTTCGAAAACTCACTCAGTAAATAATAGTAAAAAACTATCGCTAAAGTTTTTTTTATAAATAACTATTATATAAAAAATAAACCATATTATTAATTTGGCGACAAATATATCTCGGTAAATAACACCCACAACAACACATGGGCTTATAGAACCAGTAAATTCTAACCAACAATCAAGTATCTGACAAATCTATAATGAGACGGTGTCTCTTTGCAACCTTTTCTAGATTTCATCGGAAAAGTAGAGCATACATCAAAAGGGAAAAGAAGACTCATGGTAAAAATGGATCAAACCAAAGAAATCTTGTGCCTACGTTATTTTAGCCTTATCACTGTTCTGATTAATCCATCTAATACGGTGAGCGTTGTGCTTTTCAAATTCCAGTCGGCTTCGCCTCTTTGCAACCTTACAGCAACAAAATAACAACAATCATTAGATAGTTCCTTAATTCATTGAGATTATCAACTCATTTGAAAGATCTAAAACCAATGAATGAAAGTTTGCACTGACCATCTTCAACCAACTGAATCCAGCCAGTCCCCAGAAGAGAAGCAATAAAAAATCAGCACAAACAAGTATGAAAAAGCTAGATTTAAGACCAAATAATGATCGTCTTACACAGAAAAAATTCAAAAGTTGTACATACTTTCTGCGAATACATATAAAAGAATCACCATAACAATACACAGCGATAATAACAAAACCACTCCGAAATCAACCAAATAAAGAAAACGAACAAACGAACAACCTGCTTCGCATCTATATACATGTTGAATTCAAGTCTATAAAGATATGCTGATAATTTATCTTCTGTTCTTGTAAACAGAACCATTGCCAAGGAGCGATGGCTGATGCTATTCAATTCTTGCAGTTCCACTTAGATGTCGGTACACAGCTCAGATAGTGACACCAATGACATTTCTCGTTCCCGTTCACTCCTCTGAAAAGCATTATCAAGCCTGATGCAAAGCTGCAATCAATAACTATATGAGTACTTCCATCTTTTAATGACCCAGTGAAGTAAAATGCAACGTTTGTGTTCATGATTCGGGATTCTATAAAGGTTGGTCATGTTGCCACATTCCATAAATCCTACTTGGATACTGTAATAATTCATTGTCGTGATGCTCAAAACAATGAGTTGGCAAGTAGATGAAACAAAATAAAAGGATAAGGACCCGAGGGACATAATTCAAGCTTGTTATAAAAACGGGTGCTAATTAAGCTAAAACTGAGACTTCTTTTTTGAATAGTCAAAGAAAGATATTCATATTATTTCTTTTCAAGCTTTTGATGTTAAAAGGTTTTATTTGTTTGTCAATCGTTCTCCCGTGCACGCTATGTGTGCATTTCATAGTAAAATATTTTTAACACCTTAATAATCAGTACTAATATGAATTGTTTTTTAGAAAATTACTGTCAAAAGTGAGATAAAGTATCTTACTATTAGAAATGTGGGGAATGGAGGGAGTCATCAAGTAGTGGATGGCAGTTAAGGCGCTGTTAGATCTTTCCAATTTTGTCCTTCTATTTAGTTTCAATGCATAATAAATTGTCGAGGACATGTTGAATTTTTTGAAAACATGATACACACAGGGATAGTACCAAAAGTGTGGCTTTTCTTAAAAAATAGTAATAGATGATAGATTCATTTCCCTTCCATATTTTTTCTTTATGTAACTTTTCCTAAGTTTCTCGGGATTACCTTTAGACGAGCCAAGTATCACACAGTTCAGTGTTACCAATAACATGTTTTTCATATGAAAAATCATAGATTCAAAATAATAGATCAAATATAATTCTTAATATACTGCATTTTCACTTAGATTTTGACTAACTGTTGCTTACCCAGCTATGAGCAAAAGAACGGCAATCACCCATAACGCATGTTGATAAACTTTATACTTGGATTTCACCCGGCTAGAAGGAGGGAGATTGCTACGTTCCATCCAACCAAACTGCGGGCGGATCAACAATATAAAACCAAGGAAGAAACCCGTTAAGAATCCTCCAATGTGTGCAAAATTATCAACATGGGGCAATATTCCTAATGCCAAGTTGATTGTGATGATGACAATGAGAGTCAATAATGCTGCAACCTACAAGGAAAACAAAAAAGCGCACTCAGAAAAAAGCATAGTGATAAATGGATATAAAAATTAGAAGATAGAATGTTCCCACTTTGTTTGAATAGATGGTCCAATTTGTGATTAATTCTGAAAGCATGGCTCCGAGAAGTCCAAACAGCGCGCCAGAAGCTCCAACAGATATGTTATTTCTTATGAAAAGCGTAGAGAGAACACTTCCTCCAAATCCTGATATGAGGTATATTATTCCAATTCTGACTGCAAGACCAGTTAAATTTTGAATAGGTTAGATGGTGATATGATTGCATAAAGTTTTCAGGATTGATTTTTTTAATGGTGCTGTTTACATAACTCACTAAAGCCTAAATGGTTCATGAAGCTTGTCCTCCTTATTTGCTAAATTCCTTCTGAACTTAAAAAAGTGGAGGGGCAAAAAGAAATAGAATGATAATTGACAAACTTGAACTCCATTTATCAAATAGACCATTATTTAGATAAATTAAAAGAAATTGAGGGGCGAACTCTGATGTATGATTAAAAGTTTCTGATTTGGCACGTGTAAACCGAAACTTTATAGAGTTTTCTAGGAACTAAAGAAATTTTTCACAGAGTGCCTGGTCGAGAAAATATTAACATATATACAAAGTGTTAGCCAAGAAAAAATCCAGTTATATCAATAATTGTGATAACTTAGGTTTGACGAGCAATGAAAATACAAATGGGAATATCCTGGGCTGTGCTGGAGAAAATACCTTGAACTAAAGTTAACATGATCTTATTACAAAATGGAAAAATTCAAATAGCTTGAGTTTAAATAGAAGATCACATCTCAATCATAACAAAGTTCCATTCTATACCATTTAAGTCCAATTACTAGATCTATATATAAGTCTATATACAAAAGGATGTCAATAACTTCATTCAAAAAATGTTAATGGCAATTAGTTTCCAGTAAATTATATTAAAGGCGCAGCTTACCAAACCCAAATTGCTGTTCAAGGCGAATTCCAATGAATACCAAGCTTAACATATTTGCTAGAAGGTGGATAATGCCGGCATGCAACCAAATACAAGCAATAAGTCTCCATCCTTGATGTTGATGGACCACTTTGTCCCATTCGAGAGCTCCCAATTTCTCTAACCTGAAAAAACAATATGAGAAAAGAATATTAGGCCCTTTTCTAAATCCAAACCTACCTAGTAAATGAATTTTCTTGATATAGATGAATAGAAAATAGTACCAATAAGTGTGCAAAAGATACTAATAAATCTCTTGATCATTTAAAAAATATAGAAATTATCCACCAAAATGAAAATAGTAAGCCAAATTTTTGGTTACGGATAGTGCTCAAAGTACCACGAATGTGATTAGTATCTACAAATGCATTCACAAGTAGAATTTTTGGTAGAGGATTATCACTGCTAAGATAATTCTATTCGTCTTAGACAAGGTCTTATAACACTAAGCAAATCAACAGCTAAATTATCTATTGTTGAAAAGAACCATTAACTAATTAAAAAGTAATCTAGCCTAAGTTGTTTAGTTGAATAGTATATTAAATTGCCAGTAAGCATTAGGTTAGTTTTTTGAAGCAGTAAGCATTAGGTTAGTTATGATGACTTATGAGGCACTTAATAAAAAGCAGGTATAGATTATTAAAAATCCGTACATTTACAATTTCATGCACTCATATTCGAAGTAGACTTCAACTGTACTTTACAATTTAATCAACATCAAGTTTGTCAGAGGGAATAAATAATTCGGAGTCTTCATATGAATTTGATATTTTTCTGGCATATTCATGGAATACTATCACCTTCCGCTTGGCTCCTTTTCAATTCTTTCTTGTTAGGGGCTGTTTGGTTGTTTTCCGAAAAAAATCAGAAATGGAAAACTCACATTTCAACTCATTTCAAGAGATTTCAAGACATTTCTCGCATTTTTTTTTTTGCAATGAAATCACTGTCACGTCACCGCCACGTCACATAAGAAACAAATCCAGCCGCAATAATAACATTGTTTCGATTTCCATCTCTTGTGTTTGTTTGAACATAAAAAAAAAGAAATGGAAATCAGCCGCAATAGTAACAGTGTTTTTAGCAATTAAATAATTTATTTTATTCACAGTTACTGTTTCAATAGTGCTTTTAGTAATTAAAAATTCATTGAAGTGACATTTCCAAGTATTTTCAGAGGTTTTTGGTGTGAAAACACTTTTCTCAAAAATCTGACGTGACATCCTACGTGACACCCTCATTTCTTTAAATCACAAAAGAAAACAAACATGTGATTTGGAAATCGGTTGAAACCAAAATCCTACATGGCGGGGGGTATTTCTTGAAATCTGACGTGGCGGGGGGTTTTCTCATTTTTTTTAGCAAACAAACAGCCCCTTAAACTAGGCTTACAATCACCGCGCACCAAAAATCTCCACCCCGAGCTTAATGAAAGAACAAACACCATCGACTTCAACATATCGACACAAATAGAGAAACTTTAAAAAAACTAAAAAGCTATATGAAAGTGATTTGGAGACGGTACTCGTTGTTTCTCAGCGAAGAGACCATTTCTCAAATCACAATCATTCATCTACATTTATTATGGTTCATTATACTAAATGTTAAATGGCGTCTAGAGCGGAAATAATCCGAATTCTGTTGAAAGACTACAAATTTACAAACAAAAACCAAACAACAGAAGTATGCCAAGGAACAGGACATCTTCTATTATAACTCATTTTTACGCCATCAACACTTCAATCAGAAAAACCAACTTTGATTCTTACCAAGGTCTTAATTAAAATCTTAAATAAAAAATATTTTGCCCGTGATGACGCGAATGATCAAATGGGTGATTCACTAATTCACTGAAAATCCAAAATGTCAACAAATATATTATATATGGCTCTAAACCTCAAATTCAACAAATTAACAAAATGGGCACGCCAGAATCCAACAAAGATCCAAACTTTAAACCCTTAGCACCCCCAAAAAAACTTACGCAGAAGAGGAGGGCCCAACAAGAGGATTCTCCCTCAGAGGCTGAAACGAGAACCGCCGAAGGAATCCAACAACACAAGATCCATAGGGATTGCTATGAGCAGGGCAATTGTTCACATACATCACAGCAATAAACACGGCAACATTAGCCACAACAAAAACTGGGATAAGCCATGGCCTCCACTCTCGCTCAGCATCGTCGTCGTCGTCGTCATCAAAATACTGGGCTCTGCTAGGCTTGGCCATCGCTTTCTCTCTGAGAGGTTGAAGGGAGTTTGATGGGGGGGTTTTAAGAGGAAGTTGGTAGTGGGTTTGGGGTTTGCTTTGCTTAGAAGAAGAGGGTTGGTTGGCTTGATGATGATGGGAGGGAGAGAGAGGAGTAAGTATTAGATTTTGCTCATGTTTGAGTTCTCAGTGGGTGGTGGTAAACAAATAGGGTGGATGTTTTTATATTTTTATATTTTTTTGCTTTCTGTCCCCTTCAATTGTTTAATTTGCATTCCAGGACGTGGGAGTCTTTGATTTTGCATGATTGAAATTAGAAACAGACATTAAGACTTGCACGTGATGAAATGCCTTGAGGTGTAGAAAGGAACCTACAAGGAAATTTCAATATCAGTATATAAAATACGCTGCCTTTTTTATGTCTAGTTAACAAATTATAATATTTACCCAGAAAGAAGAAGGAACGTGAATACATAATATTTTCCTATTAAATTTGAGTAAGATGAAGAAACTATATTTTAATCACACCAATTTTTCAATTAATATACTAACATAAGTGATTTATATTGTTCGCCTATGCGATGATTAAAATCTCGAAATATGATCGCTATCGTAAATATAGACTTAACAATAAATGACATGAATATTGGTGACTTTGTCAACATTGATTTCAAAAAGGACCAAAAACTTTCCTCTTGCTTTTAAATTTTTGGTTCCTTTAGGTAAAATGGAGACAAGTTCTGAGATAAATTTCATTACAAGAGAGAATGTGCAAAAATATGAAATACAAAGAACCTTGTGAGAAATACTACCTTGCTTATTTTATGGGCTATAAAAGTGGAGAATCTTTATGTAAAAAATCACAGAACGTTGGTGGATAGGGGGAGTGGTGTTCGTTTGGGGCCGGCAGTTGACTGCTGCAAGTGTTAAGTCAATCCTCTGTATTTTAAGCTTTACGCTGAAAATTTGGCGGTTTTTTAATTTTAAGGCTTAGTTGCACTTAAATATCTCACCGTTGTTGATGCTCAATATCAAATAGCCAATTAATCTAGAAGAAGATGGTTACGGGGTGATGAATAATGATGAAAGGTCTGCTCCCTTCTTCGATTTTATGCCTGGTTCTTGAACTAGGATATCCGGATCCGCTGCAAAGACCAGAAGAACAAACCCGTAAGAGAACGGGGACTAGTTCCCCCGTGGCACCTCCGACGGTCAAGTCAGTTGATGAACTTAAGCTCGAGCGGGGTTTAGAACTGTATGTTCTTATGCTATGTGTATTAGAGATCATCATCTCTCAATTTAGATCAGGAGGAAGATTTAAATTGCTCCGAGAGTTTTTTGTTAGGTTAGATTAGGTTACCTCTTTCTGATGGTGAACAACCTCCATATATAGAGTGGATGTCCATGGCAGAGTGGTTATTTCGGCCATAGAGAATGACGGTGACAAAGTGTGAGCTGAAAGGTGAGTCATCCCTCACTCTACAGGTGCCAGCTGGTAACTAGAAGGGAAGTTATTTCAGCATGGAAGACGGTGTCTCCGCGATGTCCGGGAAGTAACTTGTGAGTGTGGCAGAAGTCACGTGGGCATACTAAGTCGTCCCTCGCTTTACAAATGTCGGCTGGCAACTGAAGGGGGAGTTATTTTAGCATGGGAGATGGTGTCTGCATATTTTCTGGGAAGTGATTTGAGTTGACAAGTCATAGAGACCCATTAGGTCAAAGTCTGGATGAGGCTTGTCCGAGAAGGACTGAGATGTTGACATATGCTCTGGGAGAAAGGCTTGAGGCTGGGTGTATGTTGGAAAAATTGCAATGAAAAGAATAAAAGAAATTTGACTTGTATTTCTTTGATTCCGATTACAATTCGATTACAAAAGAGAAGAGAACGAATTTGATTCTCTCCTTTGTTTAAAACTGGGTTCTTCAAGGTAGCGATGGAGTGCTTCCTTTGATTGTTCGCGTCTAATTTGCTCTCTGTTGACGATCCGACCGTCTTTTATCTCGTGGGAACGATGAACTTCTGTGGAAAGTTTGATGGGTAACTCTGAATGAGTTTAAGAACTCTGAACGAGTTAGAACTCTGTGAATAGAGTTGTTAGAACCGAAAATTCGGTTAATGACCAAGCAGATATTCTATTGTTGAAGAATCCCTTCGGTTTTGATCTTCTGGATTTGATTCAAAAATCATATCTCCAATGATTTTTGCCTCTCTCACGCCTCTCTGTGCAGTTGAGATCCTGAAGAACTAATTTGCTGCTTCTTCGTACAAAAAAGCCAGCCCCTTTAACTCAGTTGAGTTTGTTGAGTTTTTATAGGTGGATAAGAGGTTGTAACTGCCCTCTAAATCCGCTCCTAAGTGGGCGTGATTTCCTCAGATCGTGGGGAAACAGTTCTGAAACCGTTCGGCTCGTATTCGAACGAGTCAAACGCCCAATCTAGCGTTCAGAACCCAACGTCGCCTCTTAGAATTGAGACGCGAGGTTGGGTGTTGGCTGAACACCAATGAACGCGAGGGTCGCTCGCGTTTGGTTTGTTATAGCTTGGAAATGCGGGGGTCGGTGTTGGCTGAACACCAATGAACGCGAGGGTCGCTCACGTTTGGCTTGTTATAGCTTGGAAACGCGGGGGTCGCCTGCTTTTCCAAAATTATGACGCGAGGATAACTTCCGCGTTTTTAGAAGAGATTAGTTGATCTGTAACCTCTTCTAAGAACGTTGCAAGGACCGTTGTTCAGTAATCCTAGCTTTAGCTGTTGTGGAACGTGAAAGTCATCAGATTGTAACCTTCACTGTAAATTATGAAGACTGCTGAATAGAGTTTTCATCAGTTGTCGGAAGTATCAACCTTCACTGTAAATTATGAAGACTGCTGAATAGAGTTTTCATCAGTTGTCGGAAGTATCGTTGAATTGTAACACTCCTCGATTCATCAGTTGTCGGAAGTATCGTTGAATTGTAACACTCCTCGATCTATGTGAAAAGTCCTCTATTTGCAACTTTCGCTCGACGGCGCGAAAACTATTTGATTGTAGTTTTCATTGTTGGAACTTGACGGGAATCAAACATCCATAGTGACTTTTAAACGAATATTTACCCACAGCTCTCTACCAAGCAACTCACCAACTAAGTCCAACCTTTTATTTCTAAAATCATTACACTGCTCATCAGCATCTCTAATAGTTGCTAATATTAGTCATGTTGTTGTCGCAGCCATCAAGATCAATCATCTCAGAAATGAGGCCGTGTTTGTAGCAGTTGCAGAGTTACAGATACATCGATTAGAAAGTCGTCTGATCGTAACTTCCATCTTCGGGGCTTGATGAGGATCAACTATCTATTGTGATTTTTAGACAGCCTACACTGGGGCCGAGTTCTCAATTTAGTCGACAGCAGGGAATGTCCTTCCAGTCGTTTCTGAGAATTTTCCAGTGAATGATCGAGTGCCCTAAGTTGGCTCGTCTTCGATGATAAGGTCTACCGACACCGCCTTTCGCGTCAACCGAGGAGTGTTAGCCTATTTGACTGGTTGGAATGTCGTCTTGCCCTAGCTAAGAACCATCTTTCGAGTCGATATAAAGATATCGACTCGTCTGGGAGGTCAGGATCTTTAATGTCGACTCATATCGCCTTTCATGTCGACACCAGAGTGTCGGCTTGATGAGTCGGCGGAGGCGAGGATTCTATGATTGTGCCTTGGGTTTATTCATGATAAGGTACTGTAAGCGTCAAAAATTGCCTAATAGGTCCCCGAATACAGTTTGAGACAGAAAGAAGACGATGAACGTCATTATCCGAGTCAAGGAAGATCATCTGATACCGATAAACACATAAAGTGAATCGGTGAAACGTAAAAGTCAGCGAAGCGACAAAACACGCGTAAAAGCAAAACAAGCGCAAAAACAAGCGAACTGGAGGAGTCACAAACAGCCAAAACGTCAAAAAAAATGAACGAAACAAACCAGGAGGCTCGCGTGAGTGCGAGCCACCAAGTGGTGGCTCACACCCATGCGAGCCACCAAATGGTGGCTTGCACAGCTCCGAGCCACCACGAGCGCTTTGACCACCCAAAACTCGCCAAAACGCGGATTTCGATATTTATTTTAAGGATTCTTTCATCCCAGGACCTCTACAACTATTCTGAAGCTATCCTTAAGTGTGCTTAGGTAGTTGTTAACTGCAGATGACGTCAAAATACTTCATCTTATCAGAAAACGTGACGACAAAAGCATATAAATAGAAGCCCAGGGTCTTCATTTGAGAGGATATGAAATTAGAGGGCGAGGTGCTGTCGAATTGAGCAGTGAACCACGAATTTCAGAGGAGAATTAGCAAATCTTAGCGAACTTTTTCATAAAGAAAAAGCCTTCGAAAAATTTGAGATTCTCTCCCCCTCTTTTCTCTGGATTAAACTTGGTTTTAATCTCGAGAAGAGCCACAATCTCGCTTGGTCGTGATTGTCGCTGTTGTAATTGTTTTCTTCGTGAAGCAAGAGCATAATTATTTTATCAACCGGATCCGATCTGCGGTGGTCCACGGACTAACGCGTCCCTGTCACAGGCAAAGATTCCACGAAAGCAACATGAGATAAACTACTGCTGCGTTTTGTTGGATAAATTTATAATTTTTACTTTTTTATTATAAGAATATCTTATAAAAAGATCGAATTTTCTTTCAGTTTGAACTTGTAATCTATAAACGGTGTAACATGTTTAATGACAATGAAAACAGTAACTTTTGACGAAAACAGGTAGCAAGGGCTTGAAATTTGACTGAGGAGTCGAATGCCTAGAACTCTTGAGAGTTGACTAGGCCTCTTATTGCATTATTTTGTAAATATTGTATTTTGGTCGAGTGAACATCATAACAACAGTGTTTACTGCTTTGCACTTATATACTCTCATCTATCGTTTAACATATTTAATTACCTTAAAGTTTTTAAATTTTATTTTTTAATACCATTGGTTCTGAAAAAACGAGAAATTCCCCCCAACATCCTCATGGGACTCTCAGATACATTTTAAGCCTGATTTCAATGAAGATGAAAACACAATCAATCTCAGTTTTCATGCTATTACTACATGGGCGTTAATGGTTCAAAATAGATTGTAGTGTGTCACTGTAGGGGGGTTAATCACCTAGAATTTAAAATTAAAACTTAAATAATCTGTGGGATAAATTTTTA